TGAAGAGCCAGTGTTGTCTGAAGATGTCTCCGTGGTCATGTGGCCGGCATGACTAAATGCCAAAGGCGCACAGAACGGTGTTACCTTCCCACCAAAGTGGTCCCTATTTTTCTACTTGCAATTTTACATACTTTTGAACTGCTAGGTTGGCAGAAGCTGGGACAAGTAATAGTAGCTCCATTATGCAGCACTAGGGATTCAAACCGCCAAACTGCCAACAAGCTCAGCATCTTAGCCAATGAGCCACCACCTCCCTCTGAACAAACTTAAGTAATAATCTAAAGGAAGAAAGTACAAACACTTCCCAGGTTCTGAAATAGGGAGAAGGGATTTTCATGCAATTGTGTAAGGCAGATGCATCTGTGACCTACTAGAAGAACTTTTAAAAGGAGCATCTGTAGACGTATTCATTGGAAAGAGGTGTTAACAGTATCATGTGCCTCGCACATATGTAAAAAGGGGAAATGTTTGTTGTATGACACTGTTGTTTTTGCCTTCCTTATGGATACCTGGTAATCTCTACAATTTACTTTGATAAAAGTACAGCAATAGAATAGAGATAAGCACATAGTATTTCCATAACAGAATGTTTTGATGCTTATGACAAAATGAGAAATTAATTGGAAGGAACCTGATTGATCAGAAGGTAGACTTTAAATAGTGTTCATAGAATGCATTCATTGAAAAGTTAGTGGTGTTGCCACCTGACAAAGCAAAAGATCTTGGAATTGTGTCAGATAGCATGAGAAAACATGGATCCAGTGAGTGTCTGCTGTTAAAAGGCTGATTTGTTCCTTCTCATGGGTCATTAGGAAAGGAATAAGAAACAAAACTGCCAATATTGTATCATAACACCTTCATAAAAATCAATGGTGTGTCTACACTTGGAATACTAACTATGGTTTTGGTGGCTACACTTCAAAAAGAGCATTGTAATGTTGGAAGAGATGTAGAAAATGATACAGTGATGCAATTAAGGAAATCCAATCTTTTGTTTTGGCAAGCTACATCTGGAATTCTTTTAAATCAACATATTAAATTTTGAACTGTGTATAAACTGAGAAAAAAAGAGAAAAGATGGCTTAAAGAGTCAAACTCAGTCAACATAAATGGTTAAGATTCAAGATAGACATAACAGGTTCTTCACCCCAACCATAGTTAATTATGGATTTCACTCTTATGTGATACATGTGGATGGCTTTAAAGAGGAATAGATATTTACCTTAGGTAGATTATCATGACTACAATAACAATGAAATTGTTTTATGTCTTTTACCCAAAGCTATAAGTCTAGAGACCAACTAGGAAAAAACTGTACAACAAGGACCCTTGGTGGCATAGTTGTTAGCATGCAGTATTGCAGGCAAACTCTGCCCACTGTCAACAGTACAGTTCTGATTGGTTCAAGATTGACTCAGCCTTCCATCCTTCTGAGGTCAGTAAATTGGGGACCCAGATTGTTGGGGGCAATATGTTGACTCTGTAAACTGTTTAGAGAGGGCTGAAAAATCACAATGGAGATGTATATAAGTCTAATTGCTATTGCTATTTTGAAGCTTGGGCATTTGGAAAAAGGGGACAGACCATTATATGAGTTATGGTGTGATCACTTGCATCACAAATGTATTAAATTAAATAATTTGTTTTGGATGCCTCCACAATCAAGGTAAATTACATAATGTTTTGCACAATCAATCATAGTTGTAAAGATGTACAAAGACGATAATAAGGGAGGGCTTATAGATTGCCATACAGATAACATGGATATAATGTGTGCACCTGCCACTTGCACAAATGGAGATTTACACGCTCGCCTCCCACTTGAGTATCAGTTCATGGACCAGGATTTGGGGACCCTCCATATAAGAAACGGAGAGAGAAGTGGTTTCACTACTGTCATGCTTAGAAAGTATGAATTTCACTTCAAAACCAATTTTGGAGATATGAAAGTTCTTTATCAGGATATGGGCTTCTTCCCAGCTACTATACCAAAAGCTTTTGATCTGCCTGATTTTGATAAGGCTATGAGTTTTTCTGGCAGTATGTTAAACAAATGCAAATCTATGTTTCTATCTGAAGGACTCTTAAATGGTAGTTTAATATAAGGAAATGCAATGTTTTTCAGTTATGAACACTAATATTTCTACAAAAGGATGCTACATATCTCCATATATCCCCAGGCTTTCCATGCACACATTCACATTCTACATACATACATTACATACACTTTTTCTCAGTACAAAACAGGCAAAAATAATGTTTAACAAGCCACTGTAGATCACCATAAACAGACTTAACATTAAAAAATTCACCAGAAGAACAGATTTACTTGCACTTCATTTAAAGTTTCAAAGATGGACTCTACTATTTCTCATTTCAGGAAAATGCAAGATACATGATAGCTGTTCAGAATTGCTTTTCAGAGCGAGATGGTGGTGTGTAAATTTAATAAATGAAAAATAGAGGACTTCCTGTCTGATCCACATGAAGAAGTTTAAAGTGCTTACTTAAATTCTCTTCATTTTCCATGTTTGCTGCTGAAGGATTCAAATACTTCAGGGGTGCAATGAAAGTTGACAAAATGCTTCCCTTTTCTGTAAGGAGACAAAAAGAACAGGAAAAAAAACCATACATATGAAATCCTGAGGTATCTCCCTCCCCTCCGGCAAATCCTTGGAATTGGCTAAGGAAGTAAAGCTTATTTTTTATATCAATTCTGTATTCATATCCAATTAATACATAGCTTAAGTCATTGAACCAACTTACGTTTATTATTAGCATTTGTCATTTTTAGTGGCAGGGTGGTAACCTGCATTTATTTTGTTCCATTGATTGCTATTTAAACACCTGAGAAGGGAAATTGGGCTTGGCAATCTGCTACTCTAAGGAAAATTCTGAAAATGGTGAATGTAGATGGAATGTTAACTGCTAATCAGTTCTAGATTAACTAGAATTAAATGTTAAATGCAGCAGATTGAGTGCTGAATTTTAGAAATTCTATACCCATGTTGTAATCTTCTTACCTTCCAATTGCATGCTGAAATATGTAATTCTTTCAGCCTCCATTGCCTGCATAGCCTTATTCTGAATGAAACCAATATTTAACTTGAATACAGTTGCGGTCCTAATTTATACAACATTCAGTCTAAAAAGACCAAATCAGAGAATGATTCCATAATGGTTATCAATTGAAAGATTAATCATCCATATAAAAGAATTTTCAGTCTTTATTCCTGGTTTTCTTAGCAACAATATGGAAAAGCTTTATTGTTACTTTCTTTTGGGATTATTTCAATTACCAAATCTACATTCCAGAAATTTCTCAATAGTCTCCCATCCAGGTATTAGGTAACGTCATTAATCCTAGTGGGTTGAGGATTCCAGTGTGAGAATATGGGAAAAACCTCATGACAGCTTCATTTTACAACCATAATTCCAGGCTCAATGCAGATGGCTTACCTCCCCTTGCAGATGTTTAATTCAAGATTGCTATGCGGTAATAAGTAGCTGTTGTGACAGTGTTGTGTACTAATTAATTGACCAATGTAGTAATTTACTAACTAATTTACCAGTCGTTTTTTTTTACTAATACTGACCAATTTCACAAAATAACAATAGCCCTTATTCAGCTTCCTCCAGAAATATTTTGAACACTCATGTTTCTTTTTTCAAAGTATCAAACAAAGTCTCTAAGTATAAAAGTAGGATCAAAGCCTTTTTAAGTGCTTGGGGGGGGGGGGAAAGCCCCACATTATTAGTTGATTGCTATGACCACCAGAGTTGGATTGCTGAGAAATGCATAGTTAGGTGGAATCCTCTCTCAGGATGAAGGTGTCCATAAAGTAATAATCACTCTAGGTATTTTATCTCTTTGTGTCCTGTGGCTGTGCAACAGAAGAGGAAAACACTCTTGAAACTAAATTAAATAGTATCTAAATCTAATTTTAGTACTCTGAACCAGATTTCAGATTGATTTCCATGGAATCTAATAAAGACCCCCACACACACTTTGCCTCTCTTATTGAAAATCTGTCTCGTGCATTAGAATGCTTCTTATTCCCCCCACTTTAACTTATTTCATTTTGCTGTTTATTAGAAGTAATGTAACATATTGTAGTACATGCTATAAGTGGTAGTTCATTTTCAAGCTGCCTTGGAGTGGGTGGTTAGGAAATGCTGAAGGACTAGTGGGATATGTTTATCGAAACACCTATTTACATTCATTTGTAGAAACTGTTGCTAAAATGCACTTTCAAATATGTAGTGGGTTGCTAAGAGCTGCAGGAATGTGCATGATATAAAGCAATAATGTACCAGATGTGCAAACCTCAAAATCATTTCCCCATTAAGGTCAGTTCATGTAAAACTCAGTTATCTACAAAATTATCCCTTCAGAGTTTTCCAATAGTCTTGTAAGATTCTAATAGGACTAGAGTGGAAATACAGATATTACTTTTTTCCCATGAATGGGAATGGACCTGAGATATTCTGCGGCCAGAGGCTTAGCAATAATTTGTACTTCTTTTCATCATGATGAATACCCAAGCCTTCTTCAAGTTATTTTAATATTTGATTCAAAAATCTGACGCCTTCTTCCTTTGACATTAAAAATACAACACCACTGAATTAGATAACCAACAATTTGCTGTCTTAAAAGATCAAATTGTATGCCTGACCTCGTTTTGCTCATTTGTTGCTGGAAAGTGTTCACTGATTTTCTTCATCAAACTTTCAGTTGCAAATTCATTCAGCTCTGTAGAAGACTTGTTTCCAAAACTGATTTTTCATTGATGTGGATAAAAATAGGTGAGGACTCCTTTATCAGTTAAAATTATAAATTGAAATTTATAAAGGAGCTAAAGAAAGTAGAAGATCAGTTAAGTTTAAAGCTTCTTTTTCCTTTGGCATATTCATTATAGAGAGAGATCTGAAGTCCTGGATGGAGTTAGGGTAATATAAAACCTCACATGGTGAGCAAGATCAAGGAAACAAGAATGACAGAGATACCTGTAAGGCATCTCTAATTCTAGTCTGAGTAAATACAGGATCTTGACAACCATAAGAGAGTAATTTTCCAACCACCAATATAATGAGTTAATTAAGGTGGAGTCTCTTTGAAGCAACTTCACCAAATCTCTCACAAACAATTTTAGGGAGAAAAGTGCACCCATCGTGACAAAATATAGCTGTATCACTTTGCTTTACAGAGCTTTTGGATTTTATTAATTCATTCTAGTTCAGTATTCTGTTATCAACCTTCTGTAAGTTTCTTCCTGGTGTATGTGTAAATCTTGACTCTCCAGGCACTAACATATAGTTCTTGAAAAGAGTGCTCAGCAAATGTTCACAGATCTTATTCAAATAGATTAATTTCTTTAATACTGACTAGAATGAGCACAGAAGGCCTGCTTATTATAATACACAGAAAGCAAAGTATCTTTCTACCATCTATCATCTGTCTGTCTATCTGTCTGTCTACAATCATCATCATCATCATCATCATCATCATCATCATCATCATCATCATCATCATCATCATCATCTAGCAATATAAACAGCACTTAGACTTATACACCGCTTCACAGTGCTTTACAGCCTTCTCTAAGCAGTTTACAGAGTCAACATATTGCCCCCAACAATCTGGGTCCCCATTTTACCCATCTAGGAAGGATGGAAGGCTGAATCAACTTTGAGCCTGGTGAGATTCTGGCAGCTAATGATCAGCAGAAGTAGCCTACAGTACTGCACTCTAACCACTGTGCCACGGCGGCTCTATCTATCATCATCCCCCAAAGTTTACGTCTTTTCCTTCTATCTTTTAAAGTCACTTGTAAGCCATTCATTTTGCTGCTTTAAGACCGAGAAGCACCTACTCAATGTTGGCATAACCATTTTCCTTGGACTGGCTTTGTTCTTTATCAGTTTTATTCCTGCCAATCAAATTTTTCTGGAATGTTCTAAAGTAGGAGTGTCCTACTTTAGAATGTTATATTATCATTGAAGGCTGCATCAGGACTGTGTTTGACCCCAGTGGGCTGGGTGGGTGTGGCCAGCTTGATGCCACTCACTGGGTGTGACATCACTTCCCAAATTGCTAGCATGTTTCCTCTTTGCATTGGGTAAACCGGGCAAAAATGATGTGGGTAGACTGGGTTGAAGCAATGTAGGCTGGCCTGTTTCATTTTCCATGGGATCTCGCCCAATGGACCTTGAGTTTGACACCCCTGTTCTAAAGCAAGAAATGATGTCATCAAATCCTTACATTCCTCGAATTAGTGGCATCCATAATCATATTGCCTTGGAGACTAGAAATAATATATTGCCATCTCAGGATTAGTTATTGGGCAGGCATCTACTGTTAGTTCATGTTTCAAGACCATCATTCTATTTTAAGCTTAAAAGAGACTGAAGATTATGGCATGCACTTTAGAAAGCTGGTATTGTTTTGCTCTTCAGGGATACAATTATATATAATCAGAACCTTATTAGAAAAGGTTATTTGTCTTCTAATTAATAGCATCTGCATCAATTGGTTTCCTGCTATCTTATGCTTAAAATGACAGCTATGCTGCATAACTACCAGGTTGACAATAATAAACTTGTTATGAAGTTTTGCTTACAAATTGAAGTCTTGCTGAAATGTTGATTTATACAATGATGCAAGTCAGCACTGTTGTACACACATTAATTAGATGCGCTTTTATCTTATAGTTGATTCAACTTCAGCAGATGGCAACAATTGGTCAACCTTATCTAGATTGGGAAGCTAAACAGTATTAAACCTGCTTAGTACTTGAATGGAAAACCACTAGGACCGTGATGGTGAACTTATGGCATGCATTCCCAAAGTGGCACGTGGAATGCACAGCATCACCCATTCCTCTTCTGGGTTCCTGACACACATGCACACAGGACGATCAGCTGGCATTTGTGTGTGCAGCAGTGCCAGAAACTGGAAGAGCTGGTCTTCTGATTTCCAGCGTGAGCCTGCACGCCAGCCAGCTGATCATTGCACATGCATGTAAGCCAGTAACTGGAAGACTAGTTGGCCAGTGAACATGTGCACACTGGAAACTGGAAGTTCATTTTCTGGCACGTGTATACCTACTGGGCTGCTCCTCTTCCAAATTGAATCCCAGATGAGCACATGCACGCAAAGCGTGCCCACGCATGGGGCACTCCCTTTTTGACACTCGGTACCGAAAAGGTTTGCCATCACTGCACTAAGAAGTTCTAAGGTTGCAGAACAAAATGATGTTGCAAAACAATCGCAGAATAAACCATTGTCAAGTATTTTCCACATAGTTACCCAACTCCCGGTATGTATTTACCAGTGATTTGAGGGCTTCTTTACTTTCAGAATGTTCAATGTTTGACTTTATGGAAACAGAACATACATTTATGGTGTGATTATTCATAATAAAGAATTCCCTATCTAACACCTGGACAAGACTCTATGAACAATCATATCATCTATGACATATGTGTAGGAAGGCAGGTGAAATTGAGATCCAAACACAAACATCACAACAACTTAAACTTTTACGCAATTCCTCTGTTTGTCTAGTTTTAAAATTTAAAAATCTAGAAAGGC